GCCGGGGCCTGGCAGCACCTCCCGCGCCGGACACCGCTCTCCACGCTCTGCCGCACCCGCAAGCCCACGCTGCCCCGGCCCATGACACCCCGACACCCCGGCGACGAAGGCACCGCAGGCCCCTTCCCCTTCACCGGAGGCCTGGGGCGGCCCCAGAACCCCCCCTCCACCACCACCCCACCCCCGCCGAGGCCGGCTCGGAGCTAGCGCGCGCCCCCTGCCGGCCGGCCAGAGAAGAGCCGCCCTCAAATGTGGGGAGCTCCGGACTGGGGCAGGGGGTCCCGGGCTGCCCGAGGAGCGAGCACCGGACACAGCCCCGCGGCCCCGCCCGCCGCGCCGGCCCCCGGAGCACCCGTCCCTCACAAGCCCAGGGCTCCCTGGGGTGCAACCTGCGGGCTTGCACTCCTGGCTTGCAGTCCCTGCCGTCCCCCCCACTAGGTGAACTCGGGCTTATTGTTCCAGCCTGCGCCCCTCAGTCTCAGAGCAATTTGCAAAAGCCCAGCTCCGGGAGTTCCCTAGGGCAGAGGAGGGCAGAGGGCGGCAGCTGGCCGGGGCAGCCCCAAGGGCTGCCCATGGAGCCTGAGGGCCTCCGGCTGGGGCCTTCCTTTGTCTCTCCTCCGCTCCAGCCCCCACAGAGGCTCCAGCCCCCACAGAGGCACCCGCACATTTCCAGATGTTCAGGGCTCAGCGATCAGCCCACTGGGGGAAGGAAATGCGGGTCCCAGCACAGCTCCCCCCCACCCCCATGGGCGAGAGCACCACCGTTCTCCACCCGGCCTCCAGGTCACCCCACACGGTGGTGCACGCAAGTGCGCTAACGGCGCCGTGCGCAGTGGCGCGTGCACAGCAGTGCGCCCAGGCGGTCACGCGCGTGTACAACGGATCGCACGCCCACACACTAGCGACACACGCACGTGCACAGCCAGACGCGCGTACGTGCCGCACACGCGCAAACAGTGCACGCGTGCACCTCAGCATCCGCGCACACGTTGCCAGGCACATGCAAGGCGCGGCGCACCTGTGTGGGGCTTTGCACGCTCGTGCTCACACGCACGGGGTGCACGCGGGTGCGAACACGTGCATGCAGCGCACACCGGCCTGGGGCGCGCATGCGCACTATCTGCAACACACAGCACACTCACGCACGCGCACGCGGCGCGCCCATGCGCACACGCTCACACACATGAACACACGTGCCGCTCTGTCCGCCTCTGCGGCGCTCGGCCCGTGTTCTCAGTGCGCGGACACGCGCGCACGGACACGCGCCACGCCCGCATATGCACACTCGCAGTGCGCACTCACACGACGTTCCTGGGGAAGCGGCAGGCTCGCGGCGTCAGCGGCTCGCCCGAGCCCAAGACTCGGCGCTATTTGGTGCGAGAAGCGTTGCCACGGCAACCTGCCGGGCGCCCGCAGTGGTGCGCCCCCCTCGGCTCCCCGCCTGCTGCGGGGCTCGGCAGAGTGCGGTCCATGCCTCTCGACCTTTGTCTTTGCCTCTGGGAGCTGGACACCCACTGCCCTCGGAGCGGCTGCTAACCAAACCTGGAAAATACCTGCGACGCCCCAGGAAGCAGAGGGCCACCCCGAGG